TACTAGTTAAACTACGATACATAGTTTTTATAATTCTCGAACGTATAAAATTTCATCAATTTCAAATTGAAGTAAACTTTTGTCTGGGACTGTATAGTCAGTGCATCCTTAAGGGGACGCTGGGGTGATTCTGCACGTTTTGCACGTTTTGCTCCTGGAATTGTCAATTCATGGAAACATTTGTGTAGTATACAAATTATGTGGCTTTTGTGTACACACCGACATTCCATCAATCGGGCTAAATCAGAGAACAACGTGGTATCATTAAAATTAAGTTAAGAAGCCTAATAAAAAGTTTATTCACTCGAATAAGTTATAGGAGTGAATTTAATGATACCACGCTGTTGGCGAAATGTCGGTTTGTACACAAAAGCCACATAATTTGTATACTACACAAATGTTTTCACGAATTGACAGTTCTAGGAGCAAAACGTGCAAAACGTGCGAAATCGCTCCAGCATCCCCTTAAGGGACCCGTGGAAAATTACGCTGTATTACCCAAAACTCTTTATCGTGCGTCTATACCGTTCTTCTTTTTATATTCAATCACTCCAGTTTCGAATTGGACTAGAATTCACCCAACGTTCATTAAAAGTCAATTCTACTTTCAATTTTGATACTCCGTTCTACTTCTCGACTTACGAGGTATATTTGTCTCACCGTTGCCCCCCGACTTGATTTAATTTGACCTGATCTGACCTGCGAGGCGCGGTAATAATAGCGTTAACGCTTCGCGGTGACGCTTATTTAGATTATTTTTAAAGCGACTTATCGGCAACGTGCGCGACGGACGAGCGACAAAGTGTTAGTTAACGCTTGTACCTTGTCGTGACAGATGCTCCGTAAATGCCCATTGTCCTTTGTCAATCGAGAAACCTGTCGCGCATTGTGCGTTCGCCGTTGCCGCTACTCTCAATTCTGAGAGACCGGCCGAGATTTTATCCACCAGACAAAACGCCGCACGAACACCTCGCTTCTTTCCCTCCTTCTTTTTTTTCTTTCTAACGGAAAATGAACAACAGAGGATGTATCGTGTTGTCGGCGACGGCGTCGAATGGGAGTCCGAGAACAACGACCGTTCGTTCGTAGAAATCGCTTTGCAATTCGCGCGAGTCTACTGTAACGGTTCGACGAACTCTGGAGATAATGTATAGAAAAATAATAAAGTGGAACACGTTTAGTAAGATAAATTATATTTCTCAAGCGTCTGTCAAATTGTCTAACATTTAACGAGTAATCGAGAATGTCAGAGGCAAGAAGATACATTATCTGACGAGATGGTTCCTCCGTCGAAAAGAACAAGCTGTGAACGTGTGATATTCGAGATAACAGAAAAGCAAAATCGTAGCGCGTGCGACGTTCGGTGAAGCTTTCCGTGGCGTCGAGTATCCTTTTGCCTCCGAGGTTCTTTTCCCACTGAAAATTACTCCTACATCCAGATATCGTTATTTGCAAAGAAAAAGTGCGGGCCTCGCGTCCACGGCTCGATCGTGAACGTGAATTTTCAGGAAGGGATGACGCAATCATTCCACTTTCAATATAAATGTCGCGATCGCGGCCGCGAAAATGTGAAATCGATGGAGAGTATTTTACAAATATATACGAGAAAAGACGCCGATCGCGAAAGGGGTTCATCGATAGGTCTCCTCCCTCTTCTGCGCGGTTTCTCCCGAGCTCGACGCACCGAACGGGACCGAAATCTTTGGCATTCGACCGACGATCATCACGACCCCGGCGCGCGGCCGTCCACGTCGGATGTCCGAGGGGATGAATGCGACACATTGACTTAAAAACTCTATTAAATACATACGATCGTAGCCTAGCATCGTCGGGTCTCTCCGTTACATTATCAGCTATAACCGCAAGTTAATCATATATTATTGGCAATAATGTTAATCAATAATATTATTCCTCTTAACATTAACGCGTATCAGAGTGTGTGTGTGTATATGAACACACGTAGATAGAATGGCCGCGGGATGTTTTTTAATAAACGAACTCAGGAACGCGCACTTAAACACTGAATGAGAACTACTCGTACTATCTTTTTACTACTATGCTACATATTGTACGTGGAAGTCTGACGACACCGTAACTACCCATTGTACGCATTGAATAAAGACTACCAGGAAGGAGCATGAAAACAGTGTGACGTAATGAAAGTGAACCGAGACTATCGCTGCGACAAGTCGAAGCGAGTTTTAGGACGTCATGTATAAGTTGGATTATTCTTTTCCGGAGGAATAATCTCATTTTCACCACTTTAAACAGTTGTAAAATAAACGTCCTGCTGAACGCGATGTTACAGTGACAACAACAATGTTTTGCTATATACACTTCCAACATGCTTAAAGTGTACCGCCAGACGTGTGACGTCACACTTGTAACGTTTATACGTCATAGAACTAACCCAATGCGTTTCCTCCATTATCCGCGATATATCTGAGCTTCCTTCTCCCCGGTGTTCTTTATTCAACGATTGTACGTAAGCGAAGACAAAGGCCCGAACACACAAAAAAACTTAAGACCTAAGGGAAATTACCGATAACTGTCGAGAACGTAAACGGCCATTTTGAAACTTAAGCAATGCTGAAAATTCCGATTGATTGAAATTCTTAAGTTTTAAGTTTTACTGCTTAAGTTTTTTTCGTGTGTTCGGGCCTTAAGGTCTTCACACACTTTCCGTAAAATGTAACGGTAAGGTTTCGACCAATCGCGTGGCTCGATTCACTTACGGACGGCAACGCCGTAAACAAATCGAGCCACGAGATTGGTCGAAATCTTACCGTTACGTTTTACGGAAAGTACGTGTGTGTGTGAAGGCCCGTAGCACCTCTCATTCGAATCTAAATACACGTTCTTATTAAAAAAGCTTATTAAAAAAAGAAAGTGTTGCGACCATTCTGTCCCGAGTGCACGTCTGCACGTACGCATCTATTATGTCTCGTCTTTCTGCGCGCGCACACGCGTGATCGTCCGATTAATAATAACATTACAACGTGTTAATGTGATTCTATGAACTTACAGTCGTAATAATAATGCGCGCTATGATATCCTCTTTTACATCTCGTGCATCTCGCATTTGCGCCCGTATCTTCGCTCTCTTCCCTTTCCCCTCTCGCTCGGCTTATCGTACACGCGACACACGCACACGCGCACGCATACGCACACGCACACAGTCGAGTATACTCAAATATATACTCTGTATATTTAATCGTTTATTGTTGTCGTCGTATTTCTCGTCTCTACAAACGCGGGATGCGCGTTTCTTGATTACAAAAGGAAGGAGGGTGTGATGGAAAGATTCGTAGTTGCGAGAGACGACCCAATCTTGCCGATCGACGAAATGCGGTTCACGATGACGGCGATACGGAGATTTTATTGTGGCCGCTCACGATAAGAAACTTTTCGAAACCATCGTAGTCGGAAACGTTCGCGCGATACCTCTGATGGAAGTATTTTGCTAAAAGTACTATGAAATCGGTGAAAAATGAAATGAAAGTTCTTAGAAAATTACTGAACGCGATCTCACAATGAGCCATAATTTTCCTCGTGAAATTCCACGTGATACTGCGAGATGTAATATACGTTAAAGAATTTAAATGAAATATCTTAGAACTTACAGAATTTAACAAAAATTGTGTTACTTCTTAACGAACTCAATTTTCGAAAACTTCCACTACTTTTTTACTGAAACGTTACCAAAATGATTTATTGGAAAAGATTTTCTAGCGAGCGAAATTTCATTATATTTTCAGTAAAATATTTCTACTAAGGACGCCGCGTAAAAATCATTCAAGATCCGACTCTTAAGGGGATCCTAAAGCCGCTGGCAAATTCGATCAGTGTCGATAAGATAGGAGACGAAATTAAAAACATCAATTATTGACATTTTTAATTCCAAGTTCAAAGTTTTTTAATTCGGTCCGAGAAATTTATTCTTGTATCAAGCAAATATTGTCAAGTGTACCAAAAGTTAGTAAAATTTTTAACTATTTTTCGTTTTTGATATGAAGTCGACCAGCATAGTCTAGATTTTGCTACGTACTTCAATTCCGTAAAAGAGTTTTGCATTTCTATAAAGCCAATTAAAAGATTACTTCTGACAAAGAATGTCGATAAAACAGACGGCTTTAGGATCTCCTTAAGACGTCTACGATGCTAGAACTTGGTTCACGTTCTAGTTCCGTGAAATGTTTAGCCAATCAATTTGCAGCTATTCCATAAAAGCTGCAAATTGATTGGCTACACATTTCTCGAAACTCGAAAGACCAAGTTCTAGCATCGTGGACACAGGCCTTTAGAAATTAATTGCACGGTTGTCACAAAAAGCTATCTAGTCCTAGGGTTTAATTTGCGGGATGGATTCGTCAATTGGCGAACGAAGCCCCGTCGACATTTCCGTATGCCGTTCGTCGCGGGTCTCTTTAGGCGCGTAATAACACGTGGCGAGGAGAGCCAATGCGGCGTGACGGACAGCGTGACGAAGACGGTGCGAAGAAGCGCTTCGAGACGAGGCGAATTTTCGTTCCAGACCGCGACACGTTCCCCCGTGAAAGTAAATCGGGATTCCCCGGCGCGGCGCCGCGCGCAATTTTCGAATTGATTAACAAGAATACGTAAGGCTGGCCGTTATTTCACGCGAGAGTTCACGAAGTATTCGCGTGGAAACTCATCGGAGTAATTCTTCCTCGAAATTTCTTCCGGAAGTCAGTTAACGATAAAATTGATAAAGTTATCGCACGGCGTACTGATAAGTTTATCGATTTAATCGTTGCATTTAATTGTTGCACAAAGTGTTCGATAATTTTTTTAAGGAAAATAAAAAGATATAAATTGTGAAATGAGAGCCGACTAACACGCAGTGACTCACCCCATTGCGGCGAACCTGAAAAATCACGCCGGTTGACCCTGTTCTGAAAGGAACAAAAGGGGATAGACTTGCTTTAATACCGTTAAGGGCGGATACAAAAAGATGAATTATATCGTTACAATCTATGTACATACAACAGATCTGGAGTTCATTTTTTTTCTCTTTTCTTTAAAGGTACAAGATATATAATGTAAAGACTAATCTTTCGCAGTTTTTCCCTTCGTGTACTTGTATGTGTATGCATTTGTGGATGTGTATGTCGCATGTATATAGACTCAAAGATTCCGAAGACCGTAAAATCATACGCAGAATATTACTTCCGTTCACATATGATGCAAGGGATCGTCCGTGCCAATATAAAACGAGCAGACCTAGGAGGGAGGGGGTGGGACACGCGCGCGAAAATCGCGTGTGCGAGAGGGAACGCGAGGGGTGATGCAGCGAGTCGCGAGTGCGAAGGGACTGTTCGGTCGAGGAGATGAGAGAGGGTGATCGCGGTTGATATATCGCGCGTAAATCGGGGTTACTGGACGATACAGCAGCAGGGGTTACTCGCGAGGGTCGTGGTAGCCGCGATGCTGCCCCGCTGCCGTTGCTGCCGCGTCTGCCTGTACCGCTGGTGATGGTGGTGGCTCGTCACCCTCGCGCACCTGGGCTATTGGTTCTCCAGCGAGTAGTGGCGCGATCGCTTCCAGAAGCCCTTGAAGAAACCTTTCTTCTTGGGCGCGTCGCCGCCATCCGCGCACCCTGCAAGCAGAAAAGTCCCGTCCGGGACGTGAAGATTTACAGCTAGTTCCTCCGCAGCGGCGGCGGCATCGCAATTCGTGCGGCCGCGAGCGCCCGTAGGTGTCATACTCGTGATTTATGAAACTCGCGGACGTCGCAGCTGCCACATTTGCCACACTTTTCCTTCTTTAAGTGATATATAGTATTAGAGATGTGCGCGTTTATGTAGTCACTCGGTGATTTATATAAAGTCATTCGCCATGCGACGGCATTTCTACACAAACGAAGAGAGAGGGTGATTCTGCACGGAAGAGTATAATTCTTTCTTTCACAAGAGACTGCATTCTCGAGAGTACTAATTTTGAAAATCAGGAGTATGAATAATACCAAGTTTAGACAAATTCCAGCAAATTCATATCCCATGAATCATCAAAATATGCATAGATATAAAAAGATACGGCAATATCTTATATCGCTTTATTAATGGAGATGTGCTTTTTATTTATGCGTATAATTGCTATTAAAATGAATTTCGTGACGTAAGACTTGAGCACGATTGCGCTATTAATGTTTCAACGTTCGGTGTATTTTTTTTAAATAAAATTTTGCCCGAAAGAAATTTACGCTTAAATTTTGTTTACTAAGAATTACCCCTTTACCTATTGCTCTATACGTGCACAAGTACATATGTACTTAAATACGTAATCTAGAGATATAAAATTTATCTTCCTAAAAATAAAACAAATTTATTGATTAAGGAAGGAAGCGTCTCGACTTGGTAAATAAATTGTTATTCGATAAGGAGTTCATTTATCAATCGACGCGTGTACGTATCGAGTTTTATCTGATGAGTTTTAGCTTCGAAATCGAATATTTACGGAGAGCATTCTTATCTATATTGCTGAGATTTTACAATGGATCAATTGTCCATTTAAGATCCTTTGGAAATTTTCTGACTTATCGCGTACTACACGCGCTGCCCTTGGGAAAATTTACCTTAGAAAACCTTAAAGTTTTACTTTACAAAAATAGAAATAGGAAAAGTAAATTTGGACACTTTACACTTTTATTTAACCCTTTCAGTCACGAATTTTTCTAGCCATCGGTTTATCATAAAACTTGGTTTACAGAGGTTTTTGGGGTCGCTGATTACGAATCCGGTGTCAGAGTTTCAAAATTCAAAATGGCGGATCCAATATGGCCTACAAACATTTTGAAAACTTGTCGTTTTTTCTAAAAATGTGTATCTAAGTGTTTTTGGGGTTGCTGATTACGAATCCAGTGTCAGATTTTCAAAATTCAAAATGAGAAGACACCAGCTTCTCTCGGATAGAGTCGTTGGATTCTACCCGTGACAGGCACCGAAGTAGCCGAAATCGGAGGTGACGAGAGCGAGTATGGATTCATCGCTCGATTCGTTTCCGAGCGATCGCACCTCGCGAGCCGCGGGTCACACAGTCGACGTTCGCTCGAAAGTGCATTACCGCGGTGCATTGCGGTTTCGTTACCGTTGCCGGATCCGTTGGGAACACTGTTTTACACGGCTGACAATCAATTTGTCGACGTGTTAAGCATCGGACGAAGGCCGTAAAACGTTACACTGTCTTTCGACACATCGCAACGATATGATCGCGACTTTGAGTAACATGTTCTTGTTATTTATTAAGTTTTTAATTAATTTTTAGTAGAAACTAAAACTTTATTAATAAAATTCAAAGGCTCTAATGTGAAAACAGGAGTACAAAGTAATAAAGGAGTAAGAGCCATTTAGTATCTAAATAATTTGAATTTTTTTAAGTCTATTGCAAAAAATAATACCAGGAGTTGAACCTGGACCAAAATATTATTGTTTGTAACAAAACAATCGGTCGGCATTTCTCTATGACAACCCTCGCTGCATCTTTGAAGATCGGTCGAGGAGTAAAGCGGTCGAATCGCTGTATCTGAGAATCGATGCGCGTACCTGAAATCACCGAGTCTGTTCATTAACTAAGAGACAAAGGACCCCGCGGGGCAACCTATTTCGGCCTTCCGTTTCTACCAGACGTAAAAAATCTGTAAATGTGACGAGACGTCGAGTCGGACTCAACCCATCTTGTCTCCTCGTAGTTGATCACAAACGCTACTTTGATCTTTCGAAATCGATCCGCGTTCTAATTAAATACATTGTAATAGATATTCCGAATTCTGCTTTGTATAATAAAGCGTTTAATTACTTCTCTGCGGGGAGCTGCGTCAATGCTTTCCAATCTGACGGATTTACTCAAGAGACGCCGTGACGTAAAGCGGGACAAAGGCGTGATTCAAAATGACATCGGGTATAAATTGTCATCGCTGTCACAAACGTCGCGAGACATACCGACTTTTATACAATTCTCATACGTTCGTCGATAGAACTTTTTTCCTTAGAAATCGATCGAGACTTACGGTAATAGGAAACTATTTATCGCATTGCATTTTTAATAATAAGATAGCTCACGAAAAATAACTTTTTTCCCAAGCCTAAGTAGTAATCATTTCCGATTGAATCTTTGACACACGATTTCGGCTTCCTAGATTATATCGCGGTAGGTTTTAAAAATTTGAGATTGAAATTGTAAGAAAAGACCATTTTTTGGTACTATGATCAAACCTTCCAATACGGCAACAATACGTGACAGGTTGAAAAATGTTTTATTCGTTCAAAAGAATATTGTTGGAACTTTTGATGCTTGAAAGGAAAATTTGTTTAGAAGATTTATAAAATTTTCACGCAATATATTGGATTTATTATTATAACATATGAAGGAAAAAATTGTGAATTAAACCATGTAAGATAATATCTGTATTTTTCAATTATTCAAACTCGAAGAATTTTGAAACTGTTAAAATCATTAAACCATTTTTAATAAATTATTACGAATTAAATATTAAAACTAACTAGTTCAAAACAATTACGTTAATATAACGGAAGCTCTAAAATTAAAATTGAAAACCGCATATTTTGCAATTCATGGATGAGAGAGAGAGGGGGGGGGGCTACTATTAAAATTTACTTTCAATTTCTGTTAACGAAACGTGCTGAAACGGAAGCATCCTTCTCGCGATGCGCACGAGCACGCGGTCACTCGATCGCGATTTCCCTTAATTGCGGTTATCGCTTGAAGGCGCCGCGTAACTTGATATCGTGTACACGTCTGGCTTGCAATTAGCGTATTTCAGCCACGTTTTCAAGCGATCGGAGCTATACGCTGAGTTGCGCGCGCGCGAGAGAGAGATAGAGAGAAAAAGAGAGAGTGAGAGAGGGAGAGAGAGCCGCATAACAATGGCCGGCTTTTCCGGTCGGGCGCCGGATCTGGAGGAATGACAGCGTCGTGATTAATACGACGACTCATACCGCGGCGTCGCGACACCGTTCCACTTGCGCATGAACCAACCTTTCGTAAACCTGTATGGAATTTTCTTAACGCCTGAATCATTCCCACGTGGGTTTGTCACCGACGTTTTTAAAACGGAAACAGTGCTCGCCGCGACGCTCATCAAGAACACATCGTTTACTACGTCTCTATCGCAATGAATTGTTGAATGATTAATATTAAGAATTGAGCAATTCATTACAAAATTTTGTATACTACATTATTTTCGTAGAATTTCACATTGCTCATTATATTTTTGCTAGAAAGTCGAGGAACATATAATATGTGCATGTGTGTCCTAATTAAAAAAAAATGATAAAATTAAATAATTTTTAATAACAGTATATTGTGTTATAGCAAATTCGATTACTTGCACTAGTCCGCACTGAGTGCACACTACAGCCTGTTTATAGTCAATTTTTATATTTGACTCTTAAAGACACGTTCAAATAGTATTTAGCCAAAATTCATTGGCATAGATGCTATACAGATAATTTTACTGGTTACGAAATATTTCAATATAAGGAGATCCTAAAACCGCTGGCGAACTCGATCCGTGTCGATAAGATAGGAGACGGAATTAAAAGCGTCTTAATATTAACAATATTAATAATATTAATAATATTAATAATAATAAAAAAAAAATTATCGACATTTTTAATTCCAAGTTCTACTTTACATGTCACGATGTTCACGATGCTACTATAGAATTCGGTCCGAGAAATTTACAATCAATCAATTTGCAACTTTTACGAAAAAGCGGCAATTTTATTAGCTACACGTTGCTCAGATCGAGACTTTGGATCGAATTCTTTACTGACAATCTGACAGATGTTAGGCAGCGACCTCTCTCGAAAAAGCTTGCAACTATTTCTACCCGCCATACTGCTCTTTTTCTCTTCTTCTGGTCTTGCGTTTATTAGAAGTAATCTTTTTTTCTAGGCTATTAATCTGAGCTCTAATTGCACGATATTGTTCTAATATGTTTAATTGTCTCTAGAGTATGCTGGTCTCACTTTTTATATATTTATTGCAGAATTATTGTATCAAGCAAATATTGTCGTCAAGTGTACCAAAAATTAGTAACAATTTTAATTTTTTTTGTTTTTGATATAAAGTCGACCAGCATAGCCTAGATTTTGATGCATACTTTAATTTCGTAAAAGAGTTTTGCATTTCTATAAAGCCAATTAAAAGATTACTTCTAACAAAGAATGTCGATAAAACAGACGGCTTTAGGGTCCCCTTAATGTGCACTTAGTGCGCACTAGTGCAAGCAACCGAATTCACTATTAAATATGAAAAGGTACGTTTATTTGTAACCCTTTACGTGTTTGTACAATTCAATAATCAAAAGATGTAACTTTAATGAAATAAAAGTTTTATTTGTTCCCATATAACTTAAGGAATAGTGTTCTTATTTAACATATAAATTATTTCTACATTAACGCAACTCATTTATTGTTAAGTAACAGCAAAAGTAGCGACAACGTAATGATAATGTTATTTCTAAATTCTCCGGTTTTGTTCTGAAGCTACATAGCTTTACAGTCAGAAAGAATAAGAGGGATTTTCTGATTTTGTATACGGTACATCAGTTTTTGCTCGAAAAGCTCAAATTATAAC